TTTTTTTTTTTTTTTTTTTTTTTTTTTGATGAGAAGAGAGGAGAATGAGAGAATAGAGAGGCTACCAAATAAATTTACAAAAAACTTCCATAACATTATACTTTTCAGAATAAACTGAGCTCAAAAATCCAGCAAAAAGAGGAAAAAACAATTGAGGAATGGTAAAGTGACGGGTGGGGAGGGGGATGGCAAATGGAAATGCTGAGAAAGGCTTTTGTTGTTGAAGTTTGTTCTTATAGGCAGAAAAAAATTTGCCTTTTTTTTCGAACCTTTAACTTCTTTGCTTTTTTTTCTTCCTTCCAGGTAAAAATTAAATTTTTTATAGAAAAATTGTGAGTAAGTTTTTTTAAAAAAAAAATTAGCAAAAAGTAAGCCGCTAAATTGGTTGCAAAAGTGTTTTCTTCTTTACCTGCATTTGACCACATTTTTTTGTTGTAACAAAAATTTTTGGCATATAAAACACTATATTAAGCAATGCAATAAAAAACAGAAATCAATTTTATCAGTTTTCTATCAGTTTTACGTTGAATAAATAGCAGAAAAAAGAATTTTTTTCATTTGTTAATTCAATAAAGAAGTGTAATTTATTTTCTTCTTTTTTTTTTTTTTTTTTACTTTTTTATTTTGTTGACTAATTCTTTTTTTTGGTATTTATCTATCTGCTCTCTGTGTTTATTTGTGCCCGACGCTAAACGTAACTTTAAAAAATTTAATAGTACAAGAAAAAAAACAATTTAGAATTTTTCATATTTATTAAGTCCGAAAAAAAAAAACACGAGAACGGGAGGATAAGCATAAATGGAGGACAGGGCGAAGAATTCTCTATGTATCTGTATGGAGGAAAATACAGTTATGTTTGCTTAGAACACACATTGCAAAAAATGAAGTTTTTTTGGATTTCTTTGGTAATGTCAATGTTTTTGCTCAATTGCCAATCAACAAAATTTTTGGTTGGTTGCCTCAGCTGCGCCGATAAACCGTTGTCGCTGTTATCGTTACCGGTTGCTGCTGTCGCTGCTATGGCTGCTGTCAAAACAGCATCACCGTTAACATCAGCAGCAACAGCAACAGCAACAGCAACAGCAACAGCAACAGCACCAACAATCAGCACCAGAGCTTTCCCTAAATTTTGGCAATTTTTAGCGATTCTCTGCCGTCCCCGTCTTCATCTCCCCCTCTCCTCCATGGCTCCTGTCTTGCCCATTTTCGTCGCCTCCCTCCCCGTTACTGCTAAAATAGCTACCATTTGAATTTCATAAAGAATATGATATTGAAAAAACAAATTTTTGTACTACCCATAACAGGACAAAATGAGAATCCTATTAATCAGTTTGCAGTTTGGTGCTTTCCCAATAGTTTTTCTCCATATACTTCTCACTGTGTCAACACTCAGTTATCTTCATTTTTCACTCCCGTTACCCGTAAGATTACCAATGTCCCATATCCAACTTAAATTTATCAGTTATCATAAAGCAGCGGCAGCAGCAGCAAACAATAACAAACTATGAAAACTTGAAGCCAAAAAAAAAAAAAAAAATTTATATCAGTGGCCAAAATGAATAACCGATTGATGTTAACAGAATAAAATAATTTTGCTTGTATTTCATTTATCATTCTTTTTATTTCTTCCTTTTCTTATTTTTCTTATTTTTTTTTCTTTCGTATTTATCAAGCAACAAAACAACAAAAATCTTTTGTGCATAATCATCAGTTTCTATAGCAATTGGAATGGAACAATGAAAATTTTTGCTTTTTGTTCCTTTTTCAGCGTGTAAATGACTTTTTTTTTTGTGAAAGTAAATAAAGAAAAAGGAAAAAACCAAGAGACATAATGAAAAACGATGATGGTTAAAATGATGTTTAATAAAAACATTTTCTTCCCTTTCATCAACTATTCTGCCTTAAAACTTGATCCTATTGATCAGCTGTTATAGGATTCATTTTTTACAATAACATTAGTTGAAGCAAAACATTAGTTGTTTCTGCTGGAAGTGCATTCTATAAATGTCAAATTCTTTGTTCCTTTGCTTCTGCCTTTTCAGTTATCTTTTTCTTATCCTACAACAGTTTCATCCGCTTTTAAGAAAAACAAAAAAAAAAATTTTTTTTGCCTAAATAAGCTGCTTCCACTCAATATAGACAAATTTTTTGCTCTTCCGTACAAGCTAGTGTTTCACCGTGAAAGGCGATGAATCTATAGTGATGCTAAAAAAAGTGGGAGGATAAACTATGAAGAAAAATCTTAAAGTCGTCCAGTTTAAATAATTAACTTCTTTTTTTTTTCGAAATTTATTATTATTGTATAGTGTTTGTTAATCAAACAGTAGTAACCTTACCTGCTTGTTACCAATTCGATATAGAAAAGAGAGGATTAATGAGAAGAAGGAGGAATCGGTGGAGAAAGAGGAGGAAAAGTTGGTTGAGAGAAGGAAAAGATAAATATGATTATTTATCTATTGCAGTATTGTTTTACTGTCAGTTAGAATCCAAATTTGGCCAATAGAGTCAACGTTACTAGGAATGCCAAATTAGAAATCACTGGGCAACTAATTAGCAATTGCATTGTTGAATAGGAAACAGTTAGAAAAATAAATAAAATGGTTAAAAAGAAAGAAAAAAAAAACTAAAATTGAAACCAAAAAGCACTATTTTTTCCCCTTTTTTGTACTTTTTTTATATCAAAATTTTTATGGATTTGTCGAGAAGAAGAAAAAAGAGATGAAAAAAGACGAGTGCTGAAAAATGCTAAATAACTATAAGAAAAATAAAAAAACAGTCAAATAAATGAATCAGAAAAAAAAAAATAGAAAGGTCAACTAAAAATAAAATAATTCTTGGAAGCATGACATCATGAAAAAAGCCTTTTTTCAGCTATAGCATTCGTAACTGTAAACTGTTTCAGATAATTTCACTTTCACATCTGTCCGTTGTTCTGCTTTCCCACTTTGCATTCCACCACTGTCTCTCACCCAAACTCTCCTCTTTTTAGTATCCCACTTACTGTTCTGTGCAGTTTTTTAAAAATTGAATTTTTTTCTACCATTTTTTTCTTTTTTTTTTTTTTGCATTTTCATTTGACTTTTCCCTTCTTTCATATTTTTCTCCACTGTTCAGACTGAAATTTCATAAGCAGAAAAGCATCAGAAGCAGCTAAAAAAACTTCCCCGAAATCAATCAATTAAATCAATTTTCAACAGCGTCTGTATTTACCCTGTTTCACATTTTTACCAAAACGCTTATAGCGTACAAATCTGACAACAACAACAGCAAAAAAA